AGTCACATATTTACAGAATGGGAGAGAATGGGGAGAAGACTACACACGCGGAGGGAAGCCGCACTCGCATACGAATGATATTATATTTTTTTCTCTTTTATCTATTATTATTTTTATTAGTATGTTACACTAGAATTTTTATCCAGTTTGATGGGATGATTGGACCCTACCTTGAAATCGTTGGCTAATCGAAACGCCGTATTTATTTTTGTAGATGAGTTGATTCATGTTATCTGTGCATAGTGTTTATGAATTATGAGTGTTTGATTTAGTTCGGCCGACTACGTTGAATATTCATAGTTTGACTGCTAGAGTCGAGACTTTAATATGTAATTGTTATTGTTCTCGTTTCGTTAATAGTGAACTAGGGGTCGTGCATCTCTATGGTAGCCTGAACATAAGTTAAATGGTTTGAACTTTCGTTTCGTTGCTTGGACTAATCTATTTCATAGAAATTAATGCTGCTAGTGCATTAAATCTAGAGAACTTATTCTAAGTTGTCCAATAGTTAGGTTAGTCAAAGAACCTATTTCGATTAAATATTCAGTAAAGAAAACTTCGGTTAACAGAGCTTGTTGTTAACTAGGGTTGGTAATTCGTTAGTACTTTAAAGAAGGCGTTGCAATTAATTAATAGTAGATTTAGATTGGGTGATAATTGAACCAAAAAACTTGACTTCTCTTATTTTATTTGATTTTTATTTAATTTTCATATTTTTATTTTTATAAAATTAATCCCCCCATCTTTATTGCTTTCGTAGTTTTAATTCAATTAATACGAGACCACAATTTAATTCATACTCCTCATGAGATCGGCCCTTACTCGCCGCTACTACTAGTTAGTATAAATTAGTCGAGGAAAACTTATAAATTTAAATTTGCCGAGTCACGACGCGCGGTGATTATTCTTATTATTATTTGCATTATTAGATTTGGTAGGTAATATTTATTTTATTTCTCTAATCATTTTCTTGGTAGGCAAGTTAATTAACTTAGGGCTTTGTAGGAGTTTTATTTAAGAACCCCTCTTCTTAT